CTCGACACAGCTTCTCTTCTCCAGGCTGAAGAGCCCCAAGAAGACCATGGTCTTCAGACAGGGAGCTGGACCTCCCTGGGGATCCACCCCCTTCATCCTCCCTGTGCACTGGAGGTGGTGGCTGCCCACAGGCTGAGCTGTGCCCCCTAAAGCCCTCCTTGCTTGCTCCAGGATGCTGGTGCTGGGTGGAGGAGGCAGGCAGGGACCAGCTTTCCCTTCTCCTCACCCTGGGGAACAGTGAAGCCATTGCTGCTGGGGAATGGGGGGCCCTCTGCCGGTCCCCTCCCTATGGCCAAGGCCGGGATGAGTGGCTGTGGTGAGTGGTGGTGGTGATGCTCCAGCCAGGCTTCACCCCCCTGACCCACCTCCGTTGCCTTTCAGGTTTGGCACTTTTTGGTTGTGTGGGTGCCGACACAAATGTCACCACTGGCCATGGAACAGAAGGATTTACCTGTGGCACAGCCCAGAGCTGCATGGGTATGGTGCAAGGATGCTCAGGGGAGCCAGTGGCACTGGATGGGAGCTGGGCAATGCGGGCAGAGGGCTGGGATGGAGGATGGATGTTGTGTCTACCGCAGCCGTGCAGGGAAGCAGCACGCCACAGCCAAGGACACATTCCTGTGGCTCAGGATGGACCAGCTGCCCCCTGAGAAGAACTGTAACCCCCGCGGGGACGGTTTTCCTTGTCACCCTCAGGGAATGTGACACAGCTGAGGCGGCAGGGACACTTCTCCAGGTGCCCCGAGGAATACAAGCACTACTGCGTCAAGGGGAGATGCCGGTTCCTCGTGGCCGAGAAGGCGCCGGCTTGTGTGTAAGCCACTGCTGGCAGGGACATGGAGAGAGGGAGGAGGGGGGCACCATGGTGGGTTTTTGGACCCTCGATCCATCCTCTGCCTCCCCTGTGCTGCGGGGTAGGTGTGAGAGGGGCTACACGGGAGCTCGCTGTGAGAGGGTGGACATCTTCTACCTGCGAGGCGACCGGGGCCAGATTGTCATCATCTCCTTGATTGCTGCCATTGTCACCCTCATCATCCTCATCATCTGCGCCTGCCTCTGCAGTCAGTACGTGGTGGGGGGAACAGCGCGAGGCATGGGAAGAGGAAGCCCT